GGGGGGGGGGGGGGGGGGGGGGGTGGGGCACGCTCAATAAAACGCCGCGCGAAAGGCCGACATGTGAAAAATGTGAGATTTGACCGCCCATTTCAGTGTTGTGGGTGCAGCGCGACAGAGACGATCTTGAAGAAATGACTCTGACCGGGACTGTATGTTCCTTGTCCCGAAGAGTCGTCACCAACACGCACCTGTCTGACGCTAACCGTGTCGTCCGGCTGTTCTCCGTCGCCGAGGTCGGGGAAAACCTCGTTAAGCCCGGGCTCGAAAATCTCCGCTGATGTTTCATGCAAACAGATCGACGGAGTGTGAGGACCAGACGATAAATCGGGGAGGTCGTTCGAAGAGGAAGGCAGACAAATGTTTTCTACGAACAAAAAAAAAACTTGTGTGTTGATGAGTGGAAGTGACCCCATGGACTCCCGTCCTACGGCACCTCGAGGTGCGAAAAGCTTTGACAAGACACTTTTCTTAAAACAGCGCACCGAAAAATAATAGCATACACATAGGAAAAAGGTTGGCCTGGATCGAGCCGGCCCCAAGAACTCACGTTCCTCGTACGGGTAAGACCAGAAGAAGTCGTTCCCGCCACCGGTGTGGTGGTCGCAGTAGCTTGTACCGTCGTAGGTCGGGAACTCGATGTACGCCGCGCACTCGTCGACCAACTCTTCGCAAAACTCGCTCTTCATGGTCAGCCCGTCCAGCATGCCGCCGTCCGTCAGGTACTCGTACAGGTGGGCGCTGTACGAGTGGCATACTCCGCACACCACCTGGTTCGGTTGTGTTGAGTGATTTTTTCGCGCGGTACGAACGCACGCACCCACAATCCCCGCCGTTAGCCGGCCGGTCGTCCAAGACAAAACAGCGAGGCGACCAAGCCACAGAAGCAGTGTATCATCACCAGTGGAAGGACGTGAGTCAGTGTGAAATGTACAAGCACCAGGAGGGTTGACGAAAAAAGCAAAGAAGATGGAGACTCAGCTACTGCTTTGCAGGAAGATGCGAACGACCATCTTCTTCAACGAATGCTTACGAGGAAGGTATGACGAACGAACCACGCGCCGTGCAGATATTTCGATATTGGGTGCAATTTCGTCGTGAGAGAGGATCTCGCCCTTCCTGCGAAGGCTGCTTGTTCTATTTTACCCCGAATGGAATGCTCAAGCTTCAACTCAGGCGAATGATAACCATGAACAGGCTAACTCGGCGTGGCGGGGGTAACACAGGCGGTGTGACTTCACCCGACGACCAACGACTTCCACAAACTCAACAAAGGGTATAAATTACAGGGATTTGACGATACTGCTGCGGATGATGTGCGATACGGTAATGAACAACCTGTATATAGATGCAACGGATGACTGCCTCTCGACGGTTGGTTGCTGCCACAGCAAGAGGAGGAAGATCGCCGAGACACGCACTGGTTTGTGTTCGATTTACGTCAACTTGCTGCTGACACAACCAACCACCTCGACAATCATCCCGCATTCGCAGCAATCGTGTGGTACCAGCTGTTGAGATTCTCTTGCTGTCGCGCGGTGGTCGTTGTCGGGGTATGTGAAAAAAAATTACTTTTTGTCTGGCTTCATCACTGTATTCCAGGAAAGGATGGGGAAGACTGCCTCGAACTCTCTGCGGTGGTGGTGCTGGGATAATCACGCACCCCTTAATACTGCTCGCTTGTGTTTTGACTGAATCTAACGGGCGCGCTACACAGAAAGAAGGGCCGAGTCCTGTTCGTGTCAGGAAACCTCACCTCTCCCTCGCCCATCTCAACAGGGAAGGGATGATGACTACAATGACTTTTTCAAACCGTAGGGAGCGTGTAGTATGCGGACACATTATTGACAGCAGTGCACAACTCGTGAGAGAAACTCTCAGTTCGTGCGCTGACACACACCGGACGCGCTTCACGTCCGTCCCGAAAGGCTGCAAACCCAGTTGGTGCCAAGGAAAGACGTTAGAAAATTTTGGCAAAAGAACACGCCTTGTATAGCTTTGCAAGCTCTTTCTTCCGTGTTCCAGAAGAACCGGGGGAGAGCCAGCCCGCAATTTGGTAGCAACAACGTCGACAGACCGCCGGACGGACAACAAGCAGCTGCCCTCTGGCTGTTTCGTGGTCAGGCTCTTCTCGGCGTAGTTTTATCCGATTCTTCAATATATTCGGGTCGGTTCACAAAACCACCAAAGCGAAGACACGGAATACAAACTAAAACATGAGAGTAAACACCGACCGCGACGGTAAAAGAGCAGGATCGTCAGCTCGGCGCTAGAGCTTCTCGCGATGGGGTGCACGTCCCACATTGCATGCGACATGCCTTTCCTCATTCGTTCCGCAAGCCGCTCCCCGAGATTTGTGGCCGGCCAGCGGCCGCCCCGCCCGGAAAGGAGAAAGAAAGCGTCTCGTGGCTGGTTGCAAACAATCTGTTCACGGAAATTTAGTGAGTCAGCAGCTTGCTGCAATCGCTGGCGGGGGCCGGGCCGGCCGGGTGTAGGAGTTTGTCCATCTTATTAACCCGACAATAAAGTGTAAACAGCTGCTGCGCACCCGCCCGGCCTGGCGTGACGGGTATTATCACGCGGAATGGCGCACGCCAGGATCCTCCTGCGGGACACTATCAAGGGCAAGAAGAAAAAATTATAGGCCGTGGCCGTGTGGACAGCCGTTGTTCTGTGTTTTTTCTCCTCTCATTTTTGTCGGTTGGGGCGCCGTGCCCGTTCTTCATTTCTTTTTGACGTGTCAGGCTGCTTGCAGATAAGCAGCAAGCGGAGTAGGGCTGCTGCTGCTGCTGCTGCTCCCACGCTGCCCACGCGCACGATGCAGCACGTGGTGGGTGGCCGGCACGCAATATAATGTGTTTGTTGGTCTGTCTGCTGGGTCTCATTCTGTTTCCTTTATTCTCGTCGGATTTCGGTCGCGTTAGATAGCGCGGGCAACAACCGAACAATACCCCGACCCGCTCCATTCCCATGGAAAGACGGCAGCAAAAACCAAGGTCACGTTCTTGTGCTGCACTCTCGGGACGCACGACTGTCATTGCTGTGCGCACGCGCACCTACGATCGCGTGTGCCGTTCACTGCTGTCTATCATCGTGTCGTCGGAACAAAGCGAACGGAGGTGTCAAGTTCTCTTCTCCTCTCAACGAAGTTCAAAAATATAGCTCCGATCAGCCACACGCCGGCCAAAAGCAAAAAGAGAGGAAAATCTGCCGGCGGGCACCAACACAACTCTTTGAACCTCCGCTCATATCTTATTCATAGCGCTAAAGCCCGACAGCAAAGAGGCAGACTCCGTCCTCAAGACGAGGACGCGCGAGAGTGACAACCGCCGGGGGGGGTACTTGTAGGGGCCTGTTGTGCGCATCACCAACAAACGCACTGGAAAATAAAAGAGGCAATTCCATGTTCACCCACAGATAATATCAAGTACGACCGCTCTGCTCGCAAACAAACCCTCTGATACGACAAAATAAATCACGATTGACCCACCTGCTTGTAGAGAGCAGCACACGCCGTGCTGGGCACCACGCCTACCCCAAAAGCGGCGTTGAAGTTGGCCTCCACGATGTCCTCTTCCTCGTTCGTGCAGCAAGCGCCGGACATGGCGATGGAGTTGTCGCAGTAGGTGAGAACTTGGTCATAGTCAGTCGGCTTGTCGTCGATGAAACAGAGGGGGTGCGCGGCCACCTTCGTGGCGGCCAGCGCCGCGAGACACGCGTAGGCACGCATCGCGTGGTCCGTGCTCTGATGCTGCTACCACTACTGCTACTGCCAGCAGCGCTGTGCTGTGCTGAGAGGAGGAGGTGGTGAGAAAAGTTTCTATCGAAGACGCCGCAGGGAGAAGGTAAGGGGGAAAAGAAGGGATGTGTGAATGAGCGGTGTAGGGGACGGGCGACCTGACCTTGGGAGGAAAGGGAAAAATGTTTATTACCCAATGCCAGCATTTGTTCGGAAAAGGAGGACCGAATTCATACGAGCGGCAGTGATCGTGATACGAGATCTGTCCGATCCCATCAAACGGAAAAGCTATTCGGGGTATAGACTGTCAGAAAGTTCTCATGGAACCGGAAGAGATTCGTCTGCGTTTTTTCATCTGTTCTGGCGCCTGTCGATGGAATAAAAACACTGGCAATATATATCGTACCGGGTTCATTTCAAATGATAGCCCGATTGCCGCCTCAGAAAACAAGAGCCGCGCTGGATCTTGAAGGTGTGGGTTGGTCGCCAGCACCTGCCCCCCTCGGCGTATGATGAATCGTACGGATCATCATAGGGCTATTTATCGGCTCTCGACTCTGATGGTCATCACGTGGTGTTATCGTCTGCAGCAGACCGTTCGGCTGCAACTGCTGCTTCCGTCTTGCGGTGGCGTTCATTGCTGAGCCCTGGGTGCAGCAACACCAAGCAATTACCACCAGCTGCCGAATTGTTCAGCCATGTTGCTGAACTGCTGTGCACCCCTAAACGGCTCGAGAAGCACTTTGTACATCAATCAGCAGCAAGTTGTGGGGCCCACGGATGGATCTGTGCCGTCACGAACCACCATCGGCTGAGCTGCGGGTCGTCTCTTGTGATATTATTCCCCATTCCTTATGAGCGATGCCGCCGCCGCCGTATGCATAGTACATATAGCAGTCTAGTTATTTATAGCATGATGATGTCATGCGAGATTCACATGTACTTACTACTCGCGGACAGTTAACCCGCACTCCTCACAGGCACAGCAGTAGTAGTAACTGCCTACAAAGTACGGTGTCGGTTCTCTACCAAAGAAAGGCTGCACCACTATCGCAAGGATCCCAGCGTTCTACCGGAAGGTGATTTTCATCGCGCCACGAATTGTCACAAATGGTGTATGTGTGTGTGGTCGTCAGCTGGTGGTGGTCGTGCCTCCCTCCGCGTCAGCGTTGCCGCCGATTGCATTGATTGTCCGCAGAAACGATTTGTCTGTTGTAGATACGCTGCAAATACTTCGCAGGGTCACAAAAAAAATAAAAGGATAAAAGGAGATTCTTCGTCAGATTCTCGTCAGATTCTCGTCCCTCGCGATTGTGTGCGCACATTGCAAGATGTTCGACAGCATTGTGTCTTCTAATGAGCAGTACGTGTTGTCGAAAAGGTGGATCCTATACACTAAAGAAGGGTGGATCCTGTAAGGGTATTGTATAGAGTTGAGTACAGAGGTTCGTCGGTCGGTCTGCCCATCGGGCGGCCCTGGGCCGCCTTCGTCGATCGCGCCGCCGTCGCTCCTTCGATCGTCGCCGTCGGTCGCCCTTTTAACTACTTTATTTACAGTATGCAGCTCACAGTAGTAAGTAACACATATATATACAATAATAATACGTCTACATGCTACAAGAATACATGTCATTGTACTGCTGTATATATATATATGCTCCGCGGAGGTACAGCAGCAGTACACCCGTGGCCATTGTGCCCTGCCCTGTGGCCACCCTGCAGGCTTTCAACCCTGTGGACACCCTGTGGGCACCCTGCAGGGTTCAGATTTCCCTACAGGGTTCCTGTGGGCACCCTGCAGGGACATCGACCTTGGTGAGGTAGGACCTCCACAGGCTTTGGGGGAAAAACCTTGGTGAGGTCCCTCCGAGACGGACCTCCACAGGCTTTGGGGGTGAAAACCTTGGTGAGGTCTCTCCGAGACGAACCTCCACAGGCTTTGGGGGTAAGGAACCTTGGTGAGGTCCCTCCGAGACGGACCTCCACAGGCTTTGGGGGTGAAAACCTTGGTGAGGTCCCTCCGAGACGGACCTCCACAGGCTTTGGGGGTGAAAACCTTGGTGAGGTCTCTCCGAGACGGACCTCCACAGGCTTTGGGGGTGAAAACCTTGGTGAGGTCTCTCCGAGACGGACCTCCACAGGCTTTGGGGGTAAGGAACCTTGGTGAGGTCCCTCCGAGACGGACACAGGTGGCCGGTGGGGCACGTTATGGGAGGTTATGCCCGCGCATAACCTGCCCAGATTGAATATACGCTGTATAACCTCTTCATGCTGAGTTACCAACCGCCGGTTTTCTATCGGATTAGGAAATCAATTTTAACCTTGCCTTGTCGGGCTGGCAACCTCGATCCAAAACAAATGGGTGCAAGCTCGCCCGCAGCTGGGTGACAATCACCCCACCCAGCGACGCGAGCCTTCGCGTCGAGGCCAGGAACAATCCCACACAAGGATTACGAAGCACACACACAAGGAGTACACCACACGAGGATGATTGATTGGGCCATAAACGAAAAAACATATGGTACTCCCTCAGGTCCGAAACGTGAGCTCGATCACGTAAGCCGGGGGATCCCGCACGCAGTAAAAAGTACGCGGGGAGAGGGGCGAAATTATCTCGAAGGCGAATGACATACATACATACGCGTAGTAAGGAGGAGGTCGGGGGTTCGATCCCCGCAAAACATACTTTTTTTCCCCAAAAAAACAACAAATTATACGCGAAATTTGAAATTTGAAATTTCGAATTTTCTCTCGAGGGCATAGGCATATGATGAGCGTAGTACGGAGGAGGTCAATACTTCGGTTCCCGGGAAACATTTTTTTTTCTTCGCAAAACCAAAAAAGTAAGCGCGAAATTTATCGCGAAGACGTATGACAAGCGTAGTTCTTGTAAGGAGGAGGTCGCGAGTTCGATCCCCGCAAACATAAAAAACTTTTTTTTCCCCCCAAAACAACAAATTATGCGCGAAATTTCGAAATTTCCCGCGAAGGCGTAGGCATATGATTTGCGTAGTACGGAGGAGGTCGATACTTCGGTCCCCGCGAACAAAAAAGTTTCTTCCCAAAACCAAAAAAAGTAAGCGCAAAATATATCGCGAAGGCGTATGATACGTGTAGTAAGGAGGAGGTCGGGAGTTCGATCCCCGCAAAACATGTTTGTTTTTTTCCCAAAACCAAAAAATACTCCAGGAGCATTTACAAGAAAAACACATACACACGTTTAGGCCTCTCCGAGTGCTTCATTTTTCCAACCTGACGCTTTGCTTACGGTCAACACCAAAGACAACCACGACAATCGAAAATGGCGGTCTACGGCCATACCGTAGTGGCTGTGCCCTTATCCTGCCATGACCTTCCTCGCGAAAATATCCCGACCCGCCTGTCCCCCAAAGAGGCTCTGGTGGGCCCGGAAGTGCTTTATGCAGGCTGCCCCCGACAATACACGTCCTAAAGCAAGCAGAATCATTTTCCACAGCAGCTCAGCCTTGCGGCGTGGCCTTCCGCCCCCATCCCGCACTCCTTGCGCCTCCCCCGCCCTCCCGCTTGACTCCGCCCAACGAGACCCGCGACTCGAGAAGTCGATAAAAAACAGGAGAAAATCTGTAGAGCACCGGATTGTCATCTACGCGTATCCCCATCCTGAGACCTGATTGATTACAAAGTAGGAGCGTGGAATTGCGCAAGGAAGTTGAGGGAAGGGTACCTCGTCAGTAGGGTCCGAGAATCAAAGAGCGGTCATAGCCTCCGGATTGTTGTTGTTGCTCCTTGCCTCCAATATGGAGCAATCCCTACGAGTACAGATGGCGCGGACGACTTCCGTGGTCACAGCTTGGAAGCTACCTATATACCCAAAGAGGGCACACTCTAAGACAAACCAAAGAGAACAACCAAGGACCCAGAAACAAACAGCACGAATGCGAAACAACCCGTCGGGCGTAGACGGCAACATATCCACGCCGGCGATGCAACTAAAAAACAGAGCAAAGACAACATGTTTTTATATTATCGGATTACGGTACTCTATGCATGGACATCGAATGCCCTGGTAGTCGCAGAAAACGAGGGTAAAATACCAGACCAAGGCGAAACCTAGGACTCCATGTTTCCCACCGAGAATTTTCGAGTACATGACGGGGGATCAGGCTCATTGCAAACGGCAACTGGTGCATGCGTGCGTGTGTCAGAGAGGCAAAACAATTTCCACAGTTGTAGGCACGATCCTTTGCCAGTCGCCCCCCCGTAGCCCAACTACTTCCGATGAAGAACCTAAACGTACGGTGGTATCCTTTCCTTGGCTTGCTCGATGCGAAGCAAAAGGCCATTCAATTGCAGATTCTTTCCAGCAAACCACAAAACATCGATCGTCCGCGGTGTAGGAGGGAAATGAAACTAAATCACTAGATTGCCGTATGGCTCTAGGTTGCTCTAGGTTCCCATCTCAGACAACTTGCGGAGGCAGGGGAGACAGAAAGGGTATGCATACGGTCGATCGCACACAACGAACCCGTCGTCACTCACGGCTCAGGCGATGGAGTCCCGCAGAACACTGTGGAAGTACTTGTTGAGGAGGTAGTTCGGGTTTCCTGTCAGGTTGCACCGCCACACCGGCCGCTTGCTCCCCTCGTCGACCAGGCGGCGGGCGGATGTCCCAGTTGTGGAACAGGCATGCATCATATGCACTACGCACCGGATGGCCGAGGCAGGGAAAAACGTAAGGGACGTGCGCATCCGAAGCATGTCCAAACCGGTCACCGGATCGACCTTGCGCTTGTTGCCAACTCCTGCTGTCACATACTCCACCACCGCCACCCAAATGGTGAATTCTCCCTCCGGAATGGCGTTGCTGCTATCGCCTCGTCTCCAGTCGTTGCCTTGGTGCTCTAAAAAATAGGCCACTTTCCCGAGAGTCGTGCGACCTAGCCCTTGGTTTCCAGCTCGCTGGTCTTCGGCCTTGAGGTACATCTCGACGTCATTGCCACGCGATGCCGCCG